TAACATATTTGTACAGATCAGTTTAAGACTGCTTCCTGAGAAGAAAAAAATAATTCTTTTTTGTATAAAAAAGTCCCAAAGTGACACATGCAAATAATCATTTTCAGTCACAGAAAAAAAAATATCTATGTGGGTTAAAATGGTTCGAACACAGACTATAGAGGAAACTTTCTGAAAAAAACTACATGTACATTGTAATTTATGCATATTTAGGGACCAGAGTTCAAGCATTTGGTTAAAGCAGAATGATAGACATGTGGGTTCAATCAGACTTGGCCCTCTGATCTGTCCATATTTAATCAGGTTTTTGTTTTTTCTTTTTCTTCTAATCGCATCTTTACTAAAAGTTCCTTAACAGAGACAAACCCCCCAACCTCCCCAAAGAATCTTTTCACTGTGCTTCCCGTGTAACTGCCGACTCCTGAGTGTGAACTGTTGCTGTTGATGAGAATGTAAACACATGTGAGCTCCTCTACCCTCCCATCACTCTGCTAATCTCTGCTATTTCCCAGGGACCACAGATCCAGGTGGAAACCTGGGATACACCCGCTACATGATGAAATTAAGAAAATAAATGATAACCACATGCTTCCAGAATCTATATGTTTTTAATTTGTTTGTTTTCCTTTAAGAAAAATAATTTTAAAAGGCTGTCAAAACTGCACACAAACAGCATTTATGTGGGCAATATGAATAGTATGTAGTTGAGAATAGATATATCCAGACAAATAATTATGGTTTATCTAAATGTGTGATAAACTCAGACACTGTATTGCACGAGATTTATAAAGAAAAAAATGATAACAGACATATTCACAGACTTTTGTCTTCTGTTCTTTTTTATTGAAAATATATTTTCCACTGTGCAGTGGTGAATTAACATGCATGACTTTACATCTATGCAGGGTGTTTTGCACGGTCATTTTTCAATAAAATCCCAGCCTTTATTTACACTGCACTGATAGCAAAACCTTATTAAAGGCTAACAATTCATTTAACAAAACAATTTGTGTGTTACATGAAAGTGTGGTTGTTTGTGATCCTTTAAAATGAAATTTAGGGTGTTAGACTGCATACCTGCAGCTCCTGGTTTGTCTGCGTCACGTGTTTTTAGATGTGTGCAACAAAATAACTGAAAAACTTGTTCGAATTTATCACATTTAAAATAAATTGCTGATTATCTTCCAGGAGAATATTTTTTCATAGGTTATGATTGAAGACAACTATACTCACCAGTGGAATTATCAATGAATCATCTTATAAACAAAGAGCTAACTTGCTAATGTTAAGCCATCGCTCCATTGAACTGCTTTGATCTGTTAATTTGTGATGCCTAAATCACCAAAAAGATTTTAGAATAGGTCTTAAAAAGCATAAATTAAATTAGCTGCTGTTCTTTAACCATTGGGAGGGTCTAGCCTGCAATCAAACCATTGCAATAGTGAACAGTAGGATTTTTGTGGCAGTATATGGCTGAAAATTTGGAGGCACCTCATATGTCCTGCAGAAGGGACATGATCAGTCAATGGGTTAACTAACATTTTCAGCAGGAGAAATAGGTGGTTTATTTAAATCTGAAGCTGCTAGTGTCAAGTTAGACATTTTGATATAAAAAATATTAAAGCAATTTCTGTTTGCGGCGATATCTCATATTTTCTGAGGCTGGTTAAGCTGCATAATCTGAAGACAGAATGCATAAAAGAGGCACTGCAGCATTGAGAACATTGAAACATGTTTTTAGATCCACACAATCACAACATTAATTTATTGTGATGTTACCAATAAAACTTAAAGGGCCTGATCTTCAAAGATTCAGAATAAGAGGTGCTTTGCAAATGTGAAGATGTGAAATCCAATTTGGTTCCACCCATTGAAATGAGCATATTGTGCGCTTTTCAGGCAGTTTGAGTGTTCATAAAAGAAAGCTGAGGTTCAAAGCTATGGAGATGGAGAAAATTATTATTATGTTATTATTATTATTTTATTATATGATAATACCTAAACATATTTATAGTTCCCCTATGTAACTTATCTTAAAGTACAGCACTATGACAGATGTAAAGGAGTAGAAAATAATACAAACATGCTTCATGCACAGTTATATTAAATCGAGGAAAAAAGACATTCCCGTCATGAGCAGAAGCAAAGACAACATTACGCCATTTTGCAAGCTTTTTTGGAATTGTGTTTTTTTAAACATGCCAAAATAATTAAATTCAGTAATTCTTGTCAATTTGGTTTATTTGTATAAAGATTGTCTGCCATTCCACTGCATTGATTGGTGTCAGGCAATTTAGACTTTTTTTCTTTATCAATATTATTCTAAATATTCTGTTAGTTTTCATGGTCCAAGTAAGTTTGCATGCACACAAAATATGTTATCCTCTGTTATTGTAACAATGCCTCCATTGTGGCAGCAATGCTAACAGATATTGAGTGTCAGTTTACACCCTACTTTCAGAAGTAGGCCTACTAAAAAACGATACAAAAACTGCAGCCATTGTGCCGTTTTTGATTTGGAAAATCTCTTTGCCCTTAATAAATATTTAAATTTGCATATCCTCCACCCATGAATTTTTCCGGTTTGGTCGTTACAATATCTTCTGCATATTGATAAAGGCAAAGACACAAAAAAAGGTTTCCACAGGCTCTTGCATTTGCACGTTTTAAGGCACGCAAACCTTTTGAAGATCAGACCCAAACTGTTTTATTTGACTGCATGGTGAAAATTGCTGCCAAATTTTCGATGAATGCCCATAAATGAAATGACAACTGCTAAATCACAAACAAGGACATTGTTTCATAATAAATAGCCTCTTTTCAGGATTTAGTCATTTCATTTCTAGAATTAGTGATCTTATATGTCTGTGTTTCTGTTCTCAGCAGGAACTACTTGCATATCAATTACTTAACTGATAATGTAGAAGAATATAAATGTCATTGTATTTTCTATGTGCCATTTATTCTATTCTATCCTGTATGTTTAAGCAAAACAAAGTAGACAGACATAAGGAGATTATTACACCACCTTATTTTTTTTTCTTTGTAGGTGATCTGAGCACTTAAATACCAAATAGTCTATCACATATCAAGCAAAAGAAATATCTGCTCTCAGATCAACAGCAGCTGACCTCTGCAAGCCCCATGCTAACAAAAGAAAGAAATGGTAGTGCAGCAATTTTCTTTAAGATATGGTGCTTACAATGAATCTATATTTTTTTTAGCAAACAAAGAACTCAATATTTCATACTATATTCCATCTTTTATTTAAAAAAATATTATCAATTAATAATCTGTATGAATATACAGTGTACAGCTTTGAGAGTTTATGATAAATAAGTAATGATCCTGTATTTTGCATACTCTAAAAATAAATCCTGTGCTTATTGATAGTTGGTTGTCAACAGTTATTCCTTCCAATCAATGCCTTGTGTTTCACTCTACCTGGCTTCCTTGTCTTTACTCTCCACCCCGTAATGATGCTACACTGGGATAATAGTCAATCCCATGGATTAAAGATTTCTATGTTGTAATGAAAGTTCAATTTTGCTGAGCTTTCTGCTGTATTTCTTGAATTTCATTACACTATGTGCTTACAAATTTTCTCAGTGATGGCCTCCCAGACTGGATGTATTTATACTGAGATTTTAAATTTTAATGATTTAATTATTAATTGGTTTTAATTTAAACTTTATTTAACCAAGATAGACCCATTTATAAGATCTGAATATCTACTTGCACTCTACAGTTGGGCTTTCATACAGTTTTGTATTTGCAGGAGGGTTTAAACTCAAGGTCTAAACTTTTGTGCAGTGTGACTTTGACCTTCCCTGTCATGCCTGTGGCTCTTTAAATGTGCAAATACATGGATAGTGCCATATGGGTGGTTGTTAGCAGAGAGGCATTGTGAGAGAATCACCTGAAAGTTACCTTTGTGTACTTCTTTGACACCTACCATGCCATAGCACTTTTCTTTTTTTTTTCCCGAACAGTCACATACTTTATGTCTACTTTTGTATAAATCATGAGAAACTGCTCTTAAGCTCTGCTCTGGTCACTCCTGCTGGTGTATTTTGACCTCGGTGGAGTAATGACTGGCAAGAGACTGAGAGATGGCTCCTCTTAAATTACTGGATGATAACACATTAAGGGAGAGAAGAAGAGGTGTCACATATTTCACGAGCAGCCTGAAATTCCAAGCAGTTCTCCTGGATTTTGAGGATTAGTTATCCTGAGGGTATGATAATAGCCTGCTATTATCATACCCTCTGCAGTCTGACTGCAAGGGGAAATTTAAGAACTGGGGCTGATATGTTTTAGAAATCTGATACACAGAGTGGCAGAAACACTACTTATCTCTTTTTTTTGATTTGGTTTGTTGAAATAAATAACAACAACAGTTTCTTGCCTTTAAATTTCCATTTAAATAATTTAATGTGTTTTGAATTCACATGTTTTTTTTTCTATTTGCAAAAAAACGACCAAAGCCATTTTGTTCAACCTGCTTTCAGTTAAAAGAATGTCAGTATGGCTCATGATTGACTGTCATGCGTCTCCTCTCTTCTAATGGGGTTGGATGCTGGCGGGCTTATTAGGTGTCTCTAAGATGTTCAGTCAGTTGTTTCTATGCGGGCGTAGAATAATGGCATCTTGGCAGAGCGGTGAGGAGACAAGGTCACCCACTGGCCTCTCCTAGAGACCTCTGGGAACGTGACGCATTGAGGTCTGGGTTGGAGCACCAGCAAGAGATGTAGGCATGTGGTTCAAATTCAAGGTTTTCCAATCCTCTGCATTGTAATGCATTTTAATGAGCTTCAGCCTAATTAAATACGTTTTTGTTTTTGTTTCTTTTTTTGACTGTGGAACAGGTTCATTTGGCTAAGAGGTTAGGTGCTGCTGATGATTGTGTTGAAAATGAGTGAAAGTCGGATACTAGAGCAAACAGAATAAAATTCCTGCACAAAATAAAGAGGCCTTTATTTGATGTCAATTTTATTTAATAATGACCAAAACAGATACTTTAAATATATCAACAGTGAACAGAAATGCTATGCTAGAATAAAAAAAAATAACATTAACTGTTTCTCAGAATAAAATATAGTAAACAATGTTGCAAATAAAGTTGTGCATACTGTATGCTAAAAGTACGTAATGATAGACAGTTTAAAATCAAAGGCTAATAACAGGAAACTACTTAATAATTTTTATTATGCAAATTCACTAACAAAGCCAGTCTTCTATATGAAGAACTGATTTTCATGAAAAACAACAGTCCTGAACTGACATGTACTTAAAGGCCACTCAGCATAGAAGAAGACATTATTTGAATCATCAGAAAAAGCTCAATTACACGTTGCACAATCAAACAGGGACAAAGATCACCTTTTCGTGAGACTTGTTCTGTGGTGTGATTAGATTAAATCTGATTAGCTTAGCAACAGTGATGGTCATTACATTTGGGAGAGGTGGGGTAACATCCCAGCTGAAATGGCAGCTGTGTTGTGTTTGCTTTAGATACAACTCATGCACTTAACAAAATAGATGAGATTAGGAGAAAATAAAACTTGGTGTCAATATTTGAGTAAAATCTAAAGAAAGCATACCTCCGAATTAAATACTAAGTGGCTTCAACAATTTCTGCACTTTGGAACGCCCATTATGATCGAGGAGGAGCTGAAAAGGCGTGAATGAGCAACAGTTGATTGTTTGTTCCTTATTTTTGTAAAATCCATTAATGATTCAGCTCATATAATGTTTAATTGAGGTTCTCCTGCTTCATAAAGTTTTTTTCTTTGTTTCTGAGGTTAAAAACCCTCATGATAGTGTTTGAGCTCTGTGCATCTGGCTATAAGGCTATTGTAAAGTCAGGATAGGACCAATTAAATAATATAGAAGTTTAAGATCCAGTGTTGTGTGCCCTGCACAAAATAACCTTAGACTGTCAAAATGTAATGTTGCAAAACATGGCTGCTTCTCTTGCTAGAGTAAGTGCTTTAACACAAATGAACATAAATAAGTGTAGTTATCTTATTAAGATTCACTGCTTGAAGGGATGCCAAGAAGTCCTTATTAAGTAAATGTGAAATTCTGCAAGGAGATGTTTGCTGAAGAAGTTGCAGGTTGCAAGGCCAGAGATGTATAAATACTAATGACTATCAAAAATACATTTTCACCCCCTACAACATCAACAGTGGAGCAGAATACAACTACCGGGCTACCGGAAAACAGAACAAAGATTTTCTTTTTTAAAGACAGGCTTCCCTGCAGCAATATCAAATTAACTGCTGCAGTCCAGTGACAAAAAAGGCATTTTCCTTGAACACCTTTCATTAAAGTTGAATTTAAGCACCTTCTTTCTGGTTGCAGAAGCATGCACTTCAAAACCAACAGTAGCAAGAGCCTACCAGAGCTTCCTCTGTCATATTTTAGGGGGTTAGACTATTTCTTGGACCTTGTTATTCACTTTCAGAGTAAACTTGCATGGACACCCAGACCTGGGCATATTGACAGTTTAGAGATGACCAAACCAGATATCTGAGGTTTGAAAAGGGCAAATATCCTTCAAAAAGTAGAGAGGCAAAGGTTTAACAACTAAAGGATTGGAGGTTCTAGAGTAGAACTCAGAATCTAGAGGATCTGAGTTCAAAGCCCCACTCACACAGACTGACACTCTGGGTCCCTGAGCAAGACCCTTAACCTCACACTGCTCCCTGGGCGCCGCACAATGGCATTCCACTGCTCTTTCTGCCAGTTTATGTTGCATTTCAAAATTTTAATAGAACAACCTGTCTAAAAATCACAACTGATTTTAGCATTTTTACACATGTAAGTGTTCAGGTTAAAGTCACCTGGTAAAAGTTTCGTTTTTTCATAATCCCAAAAATGTATCATTTAGATGCAAGCTTGAAATGTTAATTATTCATAACACAAGAGAGAAATATTAACAAACTTTAAAATAAATCAAACAGAAAAGCATATTATTAAAAAATAGAAGATTTATTTGCAGTTTTACAGCTTTTGCATGCAGAGACCTATGGTTTATTTGTGATTTGACTTAAATTCTAAAAGAGTTGTTCCATCTACATCACTAGACATTACTGACATAAAGGTTACCATGAAATCTAACTCTAAAGGCCTTCCTGTGTGTTATGTGTTGCTCCTTCGTCTTCTCATATTCTGTTAAGACCTAGTGTTTCTTTTCTTTAAATTATGTACCAAGCTCAAGCTTAAAGTCACAGCTGTTGGAATTTGGTGTTCTCAAAGATTATTAAAGATACTGTTTGCCTAATTGATATTTTAGGGCTAGGTGGTGCTATCCTTGTGTGGAAAGCATTTTTGCAAAGGACTAAAAGGAAGAGCAAGGATTAAGAAAAGGACACCTCCGAAAATGAGGATGGCTCCAGCTGAGCCGACACACGCCACAGACCAGGACAACTCATGGTGAAGAGGTACGGAGTGGTCGCTGGACAGCAAAGCCAGCACAGACTGATGGAAAACCAACACCGACAGGAGAACCAGAAAACCTGCACAAGATGAAAAGAGCAATGAAACGGGAATAGTTAACGTTTCAGCTTGAAATAAATAAAAATTTTCACCTCCAAAAGTCATTATACCACTTCAACCACCACATTTTGAAAGCTACTATTTTAGCATTTTGTAGAGTTTTTATGTGATTAACACAAATAGGTGAATTGTTAAGATGTTTGTGTTCCCAGTTCCACTTAGGGAACCCTAATTGCAATTTCCAAACGACACAGGGAAGTTGTATTTCACCTGATAGAATGAAGCAGAAGGATGCTGGTTTGAGAAAGAAGGGCACTCCTTTGCTGAGTGACATGGCGATACAGATGGAGCCCATCACCATCATGGTCAGGCTCAAAAGTGCCAAGATAGCTGCTGCCAGATTCAAATCTGTAAAGGACAGTAGAGAGACTATTTAGGATGCCAACTGTGAAACAAGCAGAGAGAAATTACATCAAGTGTGTTTTGTAAAATTGTTTTTAATTTAAAGCCAGTTAAAAGTATGATTCTGCAGAGAACTATATATAAATATTCAGAATCAATTCCAATCATCATATTTAAAAGTTCCTATTTTCTTTCATATGGGCCTGTTACTAAGTAACCTTTAACACATTACACTGAGAACTCATATTCCTGCAATTATTACACCAAGGAGTCCAAAACGATCCATCTACATCTTTACCTCAAAACATAAGCATAGCAGCCATATAACTAAATAGTTTCTCTTTTGTTGCCAACAACAGGTTATTTATTAAAAGCAGCTAAAAAACCTAAAAAAGGGATGCAGCTTTTTTTTTTTTTTATCTTTTGCATGGGAATCAGCTGGTAATACTAATGCTTTTAACTGGTAATATGTGGGTCAGTAAAGTGTTTTTTTGCTTTCAGATAGTATGTGTGTAGAACTCGCACGGTGGAGCATGAATTATGAATTTTTTTTTCATATTTAATCATTTTTCTTTGGTGTTTAGAACCATTAGATGAAGGTGTCTGCATAAAAGATTTCTTTCTTTGAGGGGGGATGTCATGTCATTATTATCAGCCAGTATCTAGAAGGATATATCCTTGTAAGATTGACAGAGAGCATCTCTGAGGGAGTTAAGCTAACAGTACCTTAAGGAAGCACAACATCAGAAGTGAAGATGGTAAATTCAACAACAGAATTTGAACTAAATCAATAGTTTCTCTCTTATGAACACCAAAATCACAAGACCTCCAGTAGAGCATTAACCATGTTATTCTTTAAGTTCTTTTCTCCATCTATCCTGAGAAGGCTGTTACAAAGCAATGCAGTGTTGTCCACTGTGAGGGTGTTTAAAAAAAGAACCTCTTAAATAAATGCTAAAGTTCAACTGAGTCAAAAATATATTACTAATTGTGATGTTTTGACCTTTAACCATTCTGTTCTCATATTTTGCACAGACAAAAGCTAATTGTTTTTCTTTTTGTTTAAGTTAAAGCTACTCAGTCATTATATCAAAAACATTAAAAAAAAAAAACACTGTTATTGTTAAATCAAAGCAATAAATGTCAGATGTGTCTTGTTCCTTCTTAGCATCAATTCACAACAATTGAATTACAACAATTCACTTGGACTTTTGTTATTTCTTTTCACTCCTCCGGTGAAAGTTGCAAGGTTGAATTACTTTTTTACTCATTGTGTGCATGTGCACTATCGTACCTCTGGTCTTGTGCTATAAGTAACGTATGTATGCAAGAAACAAATTTAGCAAAAAAAGAAAAAAAAGCTAATTATTGAATATTAAAGTCATCAGAGAGCCATCATTTAATTGGAAAGCCTTTGTACGAAACCAGATGAGCTTCTGGTATAGAAATTAAAAAGTCGGTATGTGACTAGAGCTCTTTAAGAATAAGTAACATACTGCATCCTTAATTCTAGCCACCGGCCTTATAAAGCCTTGAGTTTTACAGGTAAATATGTGCATGGGGGAGGGGTTGAAAAAATGTGCAGACTTTTTAATTCTAGTTGTATCAAACAACAGTAGGGCTATATCTCTCTAAAATGAAGGATTTTCTTCATGATTAAATTAAAAGCTGCAGTCTTCCTTTTCTAGTCGGTACTGTTTCACTGTGGAAAATGACTCTTGTTTTCCAGCTTTAGGTAGAGTCTTCACAGGATATTTTGCCTATTCATGGATTCCCAACCAAAAGGCCTTAATCTCTAGGACATAGAGTCTTGCTCCTCCATGAACAGTGAGACAGATGGGCATCCCTATACTGTTTAGACTTGCATATAATAGTTTGAACACAACAAGGCAATCCATTTTCTCCAAGGACGAACCAGACTTATAGAGGTCCACATTTCTCTCCCTCATACATTGGTGGATTTTGATTCTCCCATGGTGTCAGGTGGGTCCTAATCTGATGAAAATGCTGCTGTAAAATCAGGGTCAGAATGGGGGAGCGGTGTCCTAGTGGGTAGCCCCACTACCACGGACTGCCACTCTGGGTCCCTAAGCAAGACATGTGAATTTCGTTGCTTTGTTCTTATGACAGTGTAATGACAATAAAGATGAATTCTGCTTCATCTTCTAGAATTTACGATAGCTGCGGCATCATTACCTGAGCTTTCCACAAAAAAAAAATTTATGCACAATACCTTTTTATGTATGTAAACCTATTTAAAGAAAATGATAAGGATTATCACAAAATCATCACTTATTATTTATGAACAATTTTAGCAAAATCCAAAAGACTTAAAGCAGGAATAATTTAATATGATTTCATATCATATAAAAAAAAATATTTCATCTTATCCTGTTAATGTTAATATCTAGTTTCAGATGTAAACGAGGTTTGCCTGCTCCTTTGAAACAAACAATTTAACCATCAATAAAGGTGACCAATGCTCAGTGTGGCACAACAATGAAGTGTCGGCCAACTAATCTGAAAACCTCACTATAATAAGTCCTTCCCTGGGCAGCACAGCAAACACATTAATCAGTCTGATAGTGTGTAGCCTACTTTAGAAAATGGGCGGCTGTGGAAATTAATGGGCTAAGACAAACACAGCGGGTACGGTCCTGTGAGCACCACATCGGGCAACTTTATTGGACGGTAGGTGTAAGTTGTTTGTGTATGCAAGAAAGGAAACAGGTAAGACAACACATCTCACTCCTGTTAGTCGTCTTCTTGAATATGACCGCGTTCTCTCCAGACGTGAAGAACTTGAAGTAGGTGCAGTTGGATTCTGTGGATACAAAGAGAAGATAAGACAAAGACACACACAGAGCTTTGGATGGCTGCTGGTCTCCTCTGATGTGCCTACCATACGCATCCATGCACTCTGTCCTTCCAGGCATCATTGCTATTTATAACCAAGAGTCGAGCTTGAAAACGCAGAGACACACACACACATCCCTATGCAAACGCACGCACATTCATAGCAGTGCACATATGGTGCAGCCAGAGATGGTGAGAGACAGCAAAACACTGCTGTCTCTCACTGAGGATAAATGGGAGAGGGAGGAAGATGGAGAGAATGGTGGAGATTATGATGGGAAGATGTGGCTGCGGAGGATAGGAAAGAAAAGACAGAAGAAGGGTTCAAAGGATAGAATGCAAACCAATATGGCGGAGTATGTTTTAAACAGATGGAGGGTTGGTGAGTGAAGGCAAGGAGAGAGGAGAGCCTCAGATGGAGAAGGAGGTGAAGGAAGGAGGAGAAGTCAGGAGGGAGAGGAAACACAGAGGGGTTGCTTAATACTGCATTAGACACACATTCTCCCTCTCTATTTGTCAGTCTCTTTTCCTGCACCTACCGGCCCCCCCAACACACACACACAACCTATATTTAGACAAAAACTGTGAAGTAGTCACATTCCACTTGGCTTCACAAGCACATAGTGACAATTTCAAAACCACAGAAAAAAACATATCATGTGGTCAGAGATGACTGTACAAGCAATTCTCCTGCACACAAACACAACTTCAGCTCACGTGCTAGTTCTGAAACTGATCCGGCATTTATCAGGCCACGGATTCTGTAACGCATTACGCTTCACACAGTCAGCTTGTTTTTTTTCTCCTCCTGCAACCCCCTGCTGAGACTGTAATTATTGAGCCGTCACTTTTCTGGTCCAGCGGGCAACAAAGATGGATCGCCGGTCTTAAGATGATAGACGCAACATCAGCAGCAGGCCGGGACGGAAGCCAGAGGCGTGTAAACACTAATACGAGAGGGAAAAGGCAGGGATGGTGAAAACAGTTGTTCTTCTACAAAATGTGATGAGCTCGCAGCCATCTGTGACAGGCGGAATGGGCAAACTGTGGAAGGACGTGAGAATGAGATTCTCAGAAGCATCCTGGCTTCTCATGTCCCCCGACAAACCATCTTGGAGTCAGATCTACTGGCAAGAAACAGCCAGTGATCCAGAGCATATTTTTGTTTAAAAGGGCTAGGCAAAACAGTGTTGTCCTATCTCAAAAAGTTATTGCTCTGTATTTTTTTTAGATAACTTGCAATGAGATTTTTTATAGAACTGTCAAGAAATCTCAAATTATTGTCGGTCCACACTTTAACTAGGCGACTTAAACAGCTCCTGAGTGATTCAGAGGTGGGCTTGAGCTTTAGGTCATTCATTGACAGTTGGACACTTAAAGTTTTTTTCTCATTACATTAGTGTTGCGCCGATACCATTTTTTGGCCCCGATACCAATACCCGATACCTGGCTGTGCAGTATCGGCCAATACCGATACCATAATAATGTAAAATAATTGCCATCATGGCTTTGTCAAGCTGCTGCCTACCTTTGTGAAGCAGGGAAAAAAATCTAATACAAAGTGAATCCAGTAGAACTTTTTATTGCCTACCAGGAGTGGGTGACAATAGTTGAATAAACTTATGGCTCTCAAAATGGTATCGGTGCCCTATTTGTTGGTACTCGCCGATACCGATACCACCATCTTAGGGCAATATCGGGGCCCCGTCCAACACTGGTATTGGTATCGGTGCAACACTACATTATATTATGTTAAAGCAAACAAAAGTGATTGACTGATATATGATGCATATGTCAGGCAATTTTAGGTTAAAAGCCGGATATCACTGGACACAGACTTTCCAAAAAATTCAACCTTTTGTCTCCACAGTTCACAAAATATTTTCCAAAAAGTCTTGTTTTGGTAAATATAAGCCAAGGCTTTGCTTTTCTTTCTCTGTGGTTCTTTGGACCAAATAATACCTTTGGCGCCACCCCATTTAATGACCAGAATCACACTTCGGAAAGATGAACAATGTCCGAGATCCCAAGGAAAACAAACAGATTTTTGCCACTTTGCTAGAAAAGAGAAATTGCTCCCCCGTGCAGATTAGCTGCTAAAAGAGCAACTTTATCTCAGTCATTCGATGCCTCACAACAAATTTACTGTACCGTTTACATTACAGGAACAGGTCAAGGTAGGTGCTTCTTGAAGGGGGATAGTAAACAATTTCCAATGCAGAACTGTGATGGCTCTTCTTATTGATGGGACAGGGAGGGGCTGCACTATTTATGGAATTATATGGAATACCATGTTGTGAATAATTCTATGAAGGAATAGCATAATAAATACTTAAAAGTTTAAAAATGTTGATTTTGCATGATATAGCCCTTTAAACCAACTGAGGTAGATGTGGTCAGCAGTGTTTTAGGGTTTTTTTGTGACCTCTCGAATGAGTTACCAATTTGTTCTTGTAATAATTTTAGTTGTTACAAATAAATATATTTTAGTGCATGAATGAACAATAGCTCTTATTACCGTTTGCTGAAGTCTCAAACCTGATTTTGGCAAGTTAAATCTAACCCCTGATGAGTCAGATTTTCATGACTGAATACTATTTATTATTTGAATTGCTTTTTTCTTAATATATGACCTAATCTATACTGAAATACAAATTTTACAATTACTTATGTTGTATTTATTTGATAACAAAAGAAATAAATGACTGATAAATCTTTAAGGGAGAATATATTTTTTCACAGCCCCTTCAACAAGTTCTGATTCTGCTCCTGAGTTTACCATCATATGCATCCTACTTTTTTCTTTGAAATATTACTTACCTTGATCCTTTTTTATTGTTTGTGTTTAGCAAGAGAGGGAATTTTTAAGTGGTTTTGTTTTTCTTTTACGTGATATTCTTCTAGGAGGCTCTGGGGAGGATTGGTATGAATTTAGAGCTGCTGTAGGTCAAGTAGGTCTTAGACTATACCGAGCTGCTGCTTTACTGCAGTAGATTCAGACCAGTAGATGTGGACCTACACTTGTTGTAACCATGGAACTTTAGAAGCTTTAACAGGCAGCCAGGATCCGATAAATGAGCTCAGCGACAACATTGACACTTCCAGTCACATTACCACAATTAATTCCTACTTAATTTTTATATTAGTGTATGACACTTTATACTACAACGTATGCTGCAACCACAGGGCATTGTAGGACAGTTGGTCTCTATGAAGTAGCTGCATCAGTTCTGTGGTTCTGGCAGCAGATGATGCATGCCTATTTATGTCTAATCATTGCGCCCGGTGCCGGGATTCTATTTAGATTAAAAAATGACTGTAAACACGATAATGATGGAAGCTTGGTATATATTACCTTGTTTTATCATGATCCACTGGTTCGTGGTCTTTTTTATAGTCATATAGTGTAACATGACTATGCCCCTTCCAGAAATTTAAAAAAATTTCTATACCCCTTTAATTTCCTATTCCATCCTATGGTACCATCACTTGTAAACAAGACATTTAACTAACTGAACTCCCTGACACTATGCAGATCTCTGACACAAAAGGCAAAATAGAGACACTATGCTTAGATTAAGAACCACTAGATTAATAGAAGCTGGTACTCATCATTAATGCTTCACGCGTGATGGTAAACTACCTCCAGAGCATGCCAAAGATCAATGCTTTTTTCAGCCTTTTAAACATCTACAAAATAGGTGTGGACTGTTTGGGCTAAATCTAAATTGTGGTCGGCATTTGTGCAAGGTAAATATCAAGTCCATTGCTCCATTGCTAAAACAACACTGCTCCTCCTGAATCCTCTGGGGTTAAAGAATCAGTTAAAGTCTCCGTATCATACACTCTAGAGTAAACTTTCCCTGACAGGCTGATAAGTATAAGCCAACTTCATTACTATATTTTGATCTCTGTGAAGAAAATTTTTTTTTTTTCATCTGGAGAAATTCCCTTAGAGTGTCATTGAATCCAAGAGGTCTCTCAGTAAATGCCTATCTCCATCTCTAAACTAACCTATTGGACAGAAATAGGTCACTGTGCAAATAATCTCTGGAGAACTCAGCCACGGTCAAGTTGTATAAAGTACTATTTAAGAGACCCGTCACTACAGTAAACATGGATGTCTGTCAAAACAAGAAACCTGTGGTCTTTATCACCTAGCGTATAATAGGACTTGACAATTCTATACAGTGACTACACACACACATACATGAATATATATATATAATTATATATATATATATATATATACATATAAAGAAAAAGAGAGAGAAAGAGTCACAGACTTGCAGCATACTGGTATATATCTACTTTTGATTGATTGATTGATAGAAATATTGATCTCACAGTGGAGAAATTTTATCATTACATCAGCTCAAATAGTCAAAGGAGAAGAAGAATGTGCCAAAGGAAGAAAAAGGTGCATGGGATATATACAGTATATACAATGCATCCACATATGACAGCTTTTCTTCTTTTATAGCACGATTATTATACAGAGCTATTGCACAGGGTTTTTACATGCGTATTTATATAGATGGATATTTATATATATAGTTATTTTACTGGGTGTCTTGCATTTTACATAATGGACAAATACAAAGTGGTACAACTCTTATAAATAGATATCAGGTATGAATCTGAAAAAACTGCTTTACATTCATACCCAAATTTCCATTATTAAATTCTTTCTAGGATTATGTCTCTGTCAGTTTTGAAAACCAACACACTTTTGAATATCTAAGGTCAAAGCTCAAGTTTATTTAAATAGGGTGGTCAGTAGTTTTTAAAACTTAATCAGCCTCGGTTGATTTTAATTTCTCTATGATCTTAACCAGGACTCTTTAGTTTTTCGGTCCAGGGTAGGTTTCCTCCTATAAGGTCAACCTATTCTCATTATGAGTGCGTATGAAATCGTATGAAAAGTTATGCACCGTAATTTCGTACGTTTTGGATGTTTTTTTCGTCGTATGCGCATGCGCATCTGACGCACCATTCACGAATATAGAATATAAATTACAATTAGCCCTAACCCTGACCCTAACCCTAAGATATAAAACAGCAAGCAATGTAGTAGACATGAATAAGTAACGATTGCACTGTTTTTCCCATTTTTACGTCCGTCCGCAAATCTGCTTTTTTTTTCTGTCTGCCAGTGCATGCGCACTGATGTGGTTTTTTGAGGAAAAACGTCCAAAACGTACGAAATAGTGTGCATAACTTTTCGTATGATTTCAAACGCACTGATAATGAGAATATGTTGATAAGGTGAACGACCACTACTTCTCTATTTTAAATGCCTCTAAAATTTCCTCTTACAGGATTTCCTTGTATTCTGTCCACCTTGTCATCAGAACCCCTCTATCACTGCTTAATATGAGAATCCCATAGTATAATTTTACCACCACCATGTGCCATTGTGGGGGTCCAGGATGAGCCTCATATACATGGATACATATTCTTTTTGTATGGATAACGATGTCAGCCTGATCTGTGGATCTTTGCAGCACAACATAGCCCGCTTGGATGCTTTTATCATTGAAGGTTTCCAGTCAGTTCAAAGGGATGGTTATATCTAGATATTTTTGCACTACAAACGATGCCAAATTATTCCTGTTGTTGAGTGATGAATTGAAGAGCATTCAATGCGATCGTCAAAACTTTAAACATCACTTTAAAACCAAACCTTATTTAATTTCTTAATAGCTCAATAGCAATAAACCTTGGGGGCTTTAATCTGAGATTATACTTTTATACTGAGATTATGTTTCATAAAGACACATTAAGAAACCTCCTATGTTGCTTATGTGTATCAGTGCCACTGAAGATAAGAAAAGAAAAAGCCCCAAATTTTAATAATTACAGCCCAAAATCTGTTAGTGTTACTAACAGATCCAAAAATAAATGTTGTATAGCGTAACTGTTGTTATATTTTACTGTTTTGAGTTTCTATGTCATTAATGATTCCAGTTTTGTATATTTTGCATATGATGACCTAGATTCATCTTGTTCGCTGTTTTACATACATGCCTTTGTATAATGGAGGGAGGCAGAACAATGATCTACAGAAAAAAAGAGTAAAATGTAACAAAATATATCGGTTAATCATTTTCTTGATTCTATTTTATTTTAAGAAAATTTTGTTAAGATAAAATTGTCTTAAATTGCTTAAGATATTATCTATCTATAAAGACTTGTATTAGAAAATTAAAATATACCTATACTCTAATGGTATATGTATGGTTAAAAGTGTCTGTAATTTACCATTTCCTTGATAAATCATCTTTTAATTCCCGTTTTCAGACTCGGATACATCTAATTTCTGCATCCTTAAAGCATGCATGACACCAAAAAAATCCACTCTGTGTTAGACCCTGCTTCATCACAATGAAGACAGAAGTACACAAAATAGATCTCACCTCCAGGTAGTTCTGCAGGACCGCAGCTCGTCCTCTCAGGATCTATGTCGGACACCCACAGGGTGCGGATGCAGCCTTTCCAGAGGCCGTAGTGGGCCATCTGGCAGGTCTGGTTGCCGCTATAATTTTTCGGCTGGGCCAGCTCCACCCAGAACTCTGTGCCCATGCCCAACACCGTCAGGGTCACCCCGATGATCGCCACGAAGAAGACCAGCTTGATCTTACCCTCTTGGCTGTCACTCATCTTGTTTATCCTCCTTTGTCCTCTATGAACCTTCATTCCAGCCATACCCCCGCCCTGAGTGCCCCCTGCCACCCCCATACGACCCTCTTCTTCTTGCTGTACAAAGAAGTTGGACCACATATTGGCAAAGGTGAGGAGCAGCAAAGATCAGAGAGGAAGAGGAGAAGAACAAATAAGGGATTCGCTATGAAGTTGGTTCGATACTGATGGTTGTGACACTGTGAGACACAGCTGGGCTCTTCTGGATGAGTGAATTGAGCAAAAACTGTGAGAAATTTAGTTAGAAAAAAAGGAAAAAGTGGGCTGGATGCTGAAATTAGACACAAAGAGCTATGAATAGATCTTGAGTGATGTTGGGGGCGGATGCAGTAAGGTAACAATATGATGGGATGAGACGTAGGAGAGGACCAGGAGAGCCAGTCTGGGATTTTTTTTATCCAATCCTCTGAAACACAGAGATAAAACAGAGTTGAAAGTTCAGCCAGCATATGCTTCATCAAAGCTAAATCCTTTTATCACCAACATATTATTTGATTTCCACCAGCTTTATCAGCCGCTACAATACTCCCTCCCTAAAAGCCATGATATCCTCTTAGCTACCACACAGATAAACCAGATGGCATTCATCTCAGAGGCAGATTCAGCTTTAGGTGAAGAAACAATTGATGTGGCTGAGGTAGCAAGGTTGGTTTGGGTTATGTCAAGGTGAGAGAGACCTTTTATTTCCTTTGCAAAGTTTCTCCCCAAGCACTATCTGCAGTTTAGACATAGATTTACTCTGATCTGAGGGGAAAAAGGGGGTTGCTACAAATACCCCACAGTCTCCATTGTGTTTTCTGGCAAATACTCAACATTTCTCTGCAGGTAACATCCAGAGCTCATTTACAGTTCCTTGACATCATATTAAAAGAGTTCTGTCACATTTTATCACTGGATTTTAATAGGTTCATGTAATTTCACTAAATAGAAAACAGCTATAAAGAGGAAGGAAAATAATTTGTGGTTTTTCATAATTAAAAATCTGAATACTGTTGTATGCATTTATATTTATTTAGAGATTTAGTTTCTGTGAAACACTTCTGACAGAATTCCTGCTCCTTTTTTGGAGCATTTCTGCACCTGCAACATGCTTTAAAAAGTAAATTAAGCTTAGTTAAATATTATGTGTGAAAATCAACTTTACGTTTCATCCATATACAGGTCTCTTGCAGATTCTCTGTTTTTTTTTTTTTTTTTCTCCAGTTAGCCCATATCCCCCTCCACTTTCACTTTGACCAACTTTAGTGTTTCTCCTAAAGATAAGCCTTTCTACTGCGTAATGTTGTTAGCGCCATTGGATGGTGCATTAAGGATAAAGAGAAGGGTTAGTTTTCCCGTACACACTTCTTTTATTAAACCTCTAAAGCCTTCACAGAACAAACAGATTTAAACTGAGATTAAAATAACCACAGGTGAAGACTAAATTTAGTAATAAGGGGACTTCTCAAAGCAACATGGATATAGGAGTATTAGATTAAAGGGGATTAACTGTGTATTAATTATGTATAATTGTGGGGGCTGAATAACAGTGCATGTCACACTATTTAGATTTTGAAGCAAGTTTAATTTTCCTAACATTTGAAAAGTTCAGGATTATGAATACTCTTTCATTTTACAATATTAAGCTGTTCTTTAGTATGAGTGAACAGGGTTAGCAATTCAAACAACAGGGCAGCAGGGTGTCCCTGCCATGCACCAGGGTGCATTAGAGGTGATAATTTAAGCCTGAGCCCTCTGACAGAAAGGGGGCTGCAGTAATTAACAACGCTGCCTCGTCCAACAGGTCTCAGAGTGGAGGCAGGGGGCCAGCAACATCAGGCCTCTTTCGCAGTTGTTGGATCACTTAATTCGGAGCACTGCCATGACACCATCAGCGGTTTTAAATAGTCAACACAACATGTGAACCGTCTCACTGAAAGTCCTCCATGTACAGTATTTAGGGGTATCATACCAGTATGGTCTGTCGCATGCAAAATGTATATGCTGAGGGTCAACATTCAGCCTTTTCACATGCTGGTTCCCATTTGCTTCTTTTTTACTACTAAATGTTCAAACTGATGTGACGATACAAAACAGTGAGTTAAAAGAATAATCAGTGGATGAAGCTCTAAAGTAGTGTTGCAGCGATGACATTTTTTAGCCCCGATACCGATACCTGATACCTGGCTGTGCAGTATTGGCCGACACCGATACCATATCAATACCATCTGTTTGAAATTGATGTGTGTCTGTATATATGAAGAACTGCATACTACTTGCATGTAGAATAATTGCCACCATGGCTTTGTCAAGCTGCTGCCTACCTTTGTGAAGCAGGAAAAAGACTAATACAAAGTGAATCCAATAGAACTTTTTATTGCGTACCTGGAATGGGTGACAATAGTTGAATAAACTTTTGGCTCTCAAAATGGTATCGGTGCCCTATTTGTCATTACTAGCCATTCCAATACAACCATTTTTGTGCAGTATCGGGGCCCCGCCCGATACTGGTATCGGTATTGGTGCAAAACTAATCTAATGCAATAAGAGATTTTTGTAATTTTAAGTTTATTTTGTGTCATATATGAGTGGTTTTACTCCTGGTACTCTGGACTCCTGGAGTCCAAAAACAAAACTGGGCCGTGGGAGGAGTTCTGCAGTTGGTGTCTCTTAATTAGCCTTAGATAAGAGTCTGTGTGCATGATTGTTTGTTGCACATTTCTATGTGATGACCTGAGGTAAACAGGCAACCTGTTTAAGGCTTAATTCACCTCAGAGATTACCGGGGATTGGTTCAAACCCCATTGCCCCTGAAAAAAGAAGCAGGTAGAGACGTTAGTCACATGGATCAACGGATGGATGGTGAGTTTCTTGGCTTTCATCCTTCTGTTTGTTCATTATTCAAAATTAGCAAATAAACAAACATCTGAGGCCTTTATAGAAAGGCCTTAAACTGTTGGAAGGGATTTAACTCATGGGTGTCATAGTTAAATGGTTTATATACAAACGATTGTCACAGTTTTTTTCTGAGAGAAAAATATAATCACGCATTGTTTTCTTTCTGCTACACAATTATGTGCTACTTAACTTTAACATAAATCAAAGCAAAATGCAAACAATGATTTTACAAAGCACTGTACAGTGCTGATCTCACTTACTGGCAATCTCAATGTGTTTTTGTTTTTTTTTAATCTAAATTCATTTATCAAAAAAAAAAATTTTCATTGCAACCAACTTCTAAAAGCAGGACTAGTGGTCATAACATCAGCTTACACAACATTAAGAGATTATATAACAACAAAATGATTTTTTAAATGGCATAAACGTTGAGATCAATATGTTGCCAATGCCAGGCACTAACCAGCATATGTTTCAGGTCAATATATTTAGCAAATAGAAAACAAAAACAAAGCATTTGAAATAAAGGGATTCATGTTTGCAAGGAAAGAATAGCCTAGGGAAGAACATTTAAAGAGAAAATGTGTTTAAAAAAAGTTGTACTTTCTAACAGTTGAAGTTAGGAATATGGTCAAAAATTATAATACTAGAATAATAAATTTATTTTGGGTTTGGTTTTTCTCTTTTTCCTTTTTCTTTCTTGTTGGGTATAAAAAAAAGGGGGCTGAAACTTTGACTAATTTTGTATTGTTATTTCCTCTTTTGGCTCCGATAAAAATAATTATATATATTTAAAAAAAAAAAGACTACAATAATACAATAAGAATATTAAAACAAATGGATCTTAATGGAACTATTACCTAAATAAACTGAAAAATAACGAGTCGTATACAGCTTTAAAAAAAAGGCTCAGGTTAGAGTCACAGGTTAGAAAAGGACTACTAGAGGTAAACACCAGGCCCTACAACCCTGATGGATGGATGGATGGATGGATGGATGGATGGATGGATGGATGGATGGATGGATGGATGGATGGATGG